GTTTTGCCTTTTTTCCTTGTGTTTTTTTTCTTCCCCCCTTTTATATTTTTTCCTTTTCTTTTATGTCTTTTTTTTTTTTTCCCTGAAGCCCTGATTTAGTCCCTGGGGTAGAAGGGGGTGAAGCCCAGCAAGGCTGTGGGTCTTTCCTTTCCACTTTCCGTTTTCTCCTTTTCCCTTTCCCTTCTTTCCCTTCTTTCCCTTCTTTCCCTTCTTTCCCTTCTTTCTGTTTCCCATCCCCTTTTTTCCTTTTCCCTTTTTCTTCTTTTCCTTTCCCTTTCACTTTTTTCTTTTTCCCTTTATCTTCTTTCCCTTTCCTTTTTGCTTTCCTTTTCCCTTTCCCTTTTTTCCTTTTCCCTTTCCTTTTTTTTCCCTTTCTCTTTTCCCCTTCCCATTCTCTTTCCTTTTCCCCTTCCCCTTTCCTCTTTTTTTTTAATGTTTTTACCATTTAAAATGTTAATGAGGGAGATAAGTTTGCTTCCAGTGGCATGCATGTGTGAGGAGAACAGGTTAGCAATTGGGGGTGGTTAGGAGAGGCGCTGGGTGAAAACACTGTCACTTTCAAAATACACTGCTTGGATTTTTATTAATTTATTTTTTCTGGGCTTTTCACTGAAGAGTGTCTCACCCTGCAGAAGTTTTTTCCCAAACTGTGCAGGCTCCCTCCCATCCCATTAGACCCTGATGGATTTGAGGCACCCTGAGTTGATGTGCAGAGCAACCCTGAGCCCCTCAGCCCTGTAAGGGGGAGCCCAGCGAGGTACCCTCCCGCTCACCTGGTCACCCTGCCCCTCAGGGGTGCTCTGCTAGACCATCACCCAGGGCTCAGCATCTCACAGGATCCAGCTGTAAAGTTTTTCTGGCTAAACTTGCCTGGCACAGAGCATTTCTTGGTCCAAGGTGAATAAAAGGTCCTGAATAAAAGACAAACTCCTATCCAAAGATCTCCAAAGTATCCTCTGTCCTTGATGAAGACCTACAACTCTTCAGATCAACTCTGATCTACTTCAGACCAACTCTGACATAGAGGCTAGTCCACAATATCAGCTGGAAATGACATGTTCTGTATTAAAGCTTGTTTTAAGGACCCTTTATCTAGATGTTTTCTCTAATGTGCCCACGTAAACTTCCCTAACCTTTTCTTCAAATTATTTTGAGCAGCCCTCAATGAAAGCCACATCTGCGCATCTCCTGATGGGTCTAGGCTCCATGAGAAATCATTTAAATTAGACTTTTTTTTTTAATTATTATTTCCATTCCAGTGTATAATGAAATGGTCTTATGAATATCTCTTGTAAGAGAAACAGGAGAATTACAGGCATACATCACAAAGACAGAAGAGAAACCCAGGTTGCCAGGAAAGAGAGAAAAGATGTTCAAATGGAGCCAACTCCCCAGTTTAGCTCAGCACACTGAGGAAACTGCAGATGATCAGAATATCTGATAGACTGAAAACTTTTCATTTCACTCCCTGTGAAAAATTTCATTCAAATCAAAATTATTTGTTTAATTTTCAGCAATTTCTCAAACCATTGTCAGGTTCCTATTTATAGAAAAGCAGGTACCATTCACAAAACTGGTGAAGAGGAGGGACAGGGCTGCTGCCACTGTACCTCTGATCCTACATCTGGAGAAAAACCTTAAATTCAAACCTGGACTCTACCTGCTTCAAAGCGGGGATTGGACACTGGAGGCCTTTCCTCCTGTGGGAGTACACTCATGTTATAGATATTTGGAGGTGTATAGCTCTCTGTAGCACCTCAGTGAAGTACCTCCACCTGTAAAAACTGTAAATTAGAGCAGGCAGCAAGAGACTGCCTGTAAGGCTGCACAGAAAGGGCAGCCACTGAGGTCCTGCTCCCACTGGGGTTAGGCAGAGACCTCAGGAGAGTGAGACCTGCAACCTCCTCCCTGCTTTGGTGTCAAAATCCCTACAAAGTGTCCAAAGGATTTTAACATTTCCATGAGGTTGAGGGTGTTTTTACACCAAAAAAGCAAAATTACTTATGCAGAAACTTTTGCCACCTTTGACGGTGAGGAGCGGACTTCAGCGCTAGCCCCTCAGGTGTGCAGCTGCTTGGGAGCACCTACTGTTCCCTGTTACCAGATGTAACTGGGCAGAACAGAGCCCAGTTCTCTGCTTTACATCCCAGAGCATCAAGTTTCTCCACCCTCCCCAAATCCCACATATGTCTCCAGTTCTGGCTGAAAAACCTGCAAGGCTCCCTGGCTTTCTTTGCCACCTCTGTTAACATAGTTACTAACTCCAGGTCCTACAGACAGCATGGTGGTGGGTGCCTTGACAAGCAGTCTGACTTTTCCTTCAGGTGACGCAGAAAGGAAAAAAGGCTGCTTGCCAATGAGATAGGAGAATGACCAACAACAGTCCCCCAAAAGAATCCAGCCAACACTGCCAGGAACCCAGGATTTTATTTTGCCTGTTAAGGATTGGAGAAAGAGTTGGTATTTTATTCTAATAAAGCTTTTAATGCTCTTTCCTTTTCTCTGCATTTGGTCTTTTACTTCTCATTAGGATAAAATTTCCAGTTTATAAGTAAAAATTGAAAAAGCCTAAACAGTCTAGTCCCCATACTGAAAATTACATTGCAATATATTATTTATTTGGATATATAGGGAAGGAAGATGCCATCTTACTAAGTTTATCTTATACTTTGTGTGCTGCAAAGTTGGTCCAATGCAAAGTTCATTTTAGAGAACATAAATGAAGTCCTGGATGTGGGTCACAATTTTGTTAGTTCCCTGCCAATCCCACCCAACAGAATAGAGTCACGAAGATGCTCCGACAGAGCTTAGCATCTGCATCCTTGGGTTTCTCATTTGGTTTCACCTCTAGGAGCAGAGCAGTTATGGCATGTGCTGGAGAAGCTTTTTAAATACTACTAGCAGTTTATCAAACCAGAGACATTTCCATTGCTCTCAGCTCTCAAAAATGTATGTGCCTATTTTGAAACTCTTTACTGACATTCATAGCAGCAATACAAACTGTATTTGGAAGATTCACTTTTTTCCCTTCCCTAAACTTTTAGCATTGCCTGGATGATAAATAGCTTCTCCGGCATGTGCCATTTACAGCGGGGGAAAAAGGCAGACCTGCGGACTGTGTGGGTAAGCTGGGGTCACACACAGGTTTTGTGGCAGAAGTATTGCAGTGAAGGATCTACAGCAGGCACCCCCGCACTGCCCTTGTCTTCCCAGCTTATAAACTTATATGCTTTCCCTCTCTTCTTTCTTCTGTATCTGGTTTCTACTCACTATCAGGGCAATCCTCAAATTTGGTCCCACACATCTGATTTCACTGCCTCCCTCACCCAGTCTGATCCCTTCATGCTACCGAGCTCCTCTCCTGACTTATCCATTTGCTTCCTCCACCCACACAAACCCTGAGTCTTTCTCACCATCTCAGATGCTTGATGCATCCTCCCAGCTATTATCCTTGATCTGCTTCTTTAAACCACTTCTCTCAGTCCTGAATACATGGTAGCCATATGGTATCAGGTTTTGTGCCTGAACATCATCCTTATAAGCCATGCAAAAACTAGAAAATAAAGTTGGTTCTGATTATGGTCTTGGTTTTCTGTGCACACAGTGCAGGAGGAGTTAAAGAAAGCAATACTCTGAGGGAAGGATGAAGACACACGAAAGGCTTTTCAATTTTATGTGGCCTTGTGAAAATATGATGTAGAGGTCAAACTATAAATGCCCATTAAATACAGCATTGTGTGCTATTAACACATACAAGAAAAAGTGATTCTGTTTTCTCTCTCTTTTTGTGCAGATATTAAGAAGAGCAGACAAGAATGGTAAGATCGATCACACGTTATCCCCCCTCCCTTCGCAAAAAACATCCATCACTGATTCAGCACTTCAAGTCATGCTTTAAACATCCTAACAGGAAAACGAGCCCTCCTCATGCCATTTTATGTTTTCTACAGTCTCAGTGCAATGTATGTTGTTGTGCACTGATCCTCCCTACAGGTTCTTTAAGGGCGGATCTTGTGCTTTCACAATTTGGCGTGTGTTTTTGATTTGCTCTTTGGGTGCATGTGGGTGTTTTCTTAGTGACATTGTGTTCACAAGAAGGTTTGAAATACATGTTAGTGGCTCCATCTTACTACTTTTTAAAAACACCGTATGCTTTATCTAGCAATCAGACTTGTTTCCTACATTTTGCAGTTATGTATCTGTTTAGCGTGTCAGTAGGCTGAATAAAGCCTTGAATTCAACTCACATATTTGTAACACAAAAGTAATGAGATTTTTGTTATCCTCTTAATCAAAAGTTTTGCCCTGATGCTACTGACTGATTTTCCTTCCACATATATTTTTTCCCTTATTTAATTTCAGTAAGTTGGAGCATAGTAGTGTAAGGCTTCACAAGTGCTCCCATTTTGACTGCAGCAGGGGAAGGTCCTTGCTGTAAGGACCACAAGTGTAACCGCTGGATATTTTTTGCTGGTATACGTAATCATGGTCTGACTAAAATGACCTGACTTAAATTCCTTTTCCATTCTCAGAACTTCTGCACAATTTTGCACAAGTTACATCATTGTCATTTTGGTGCTGCATACCCCAGCAGAGAAATGAAGCCACTACCATGTCCCTGCATCACAGAGTGTGAGATTTGGCACGTTTGAGGCTATGAAGAGCTTCTGTAGCTCTGCAGTTACCATAATAATATTTATACATAACTCAGATAACCAGAGCTACGTCTTGCAGAACGAGAAGGAAACACAGGCTCACAGTTATTTAGCACTGGAATACCAAAGCACGGGAAGAAGGGAGATGTGACTTCTTGCAGAAGCATGAGACAGACTTTGGTCTTTTCCTGAAAGTGTTGTGTCAAACCCACAGCTCAGACAGGTTGAACCCTGACAAGCAATTCTCACTCAATCCTCAGAAAACAGGTACTGTGCAGGTTCAGTAAAGTGTACTCTCAGGTATCTGAAGGCAAATGGATACCAGTGAGAAAACCAGAGATAATAAGGAAGGAGTTCTTTCAAGGAAGAACTGTTGGGTAGTAAGGGGCTATCACACTGTTTGATGGTATAGCTGAGCCTGTTGGACAACCATTTACCCTTGCTGAGAATGCAGTCCCACCTCCACAGCCCACCACTGGTTGCTATTCCTGCCCAAGCTTGTGTGTAGCAACTGGCGCTTCCCAGGAGACCATGGCAGGCTCCTTCAGGGAGCTCAGGATCCACAAAATCCATCACTGCTAGAGTTTTTTGGCAGTGTTTTTGTTATCTCCCTCAGTCAGCTTGCCAGTGGCTGGCAAGGGCGGGGATGGGGCAAGTTGAATCCCAAGGTAAGGGCTGGGATGAAGAGGAGAAGACCTTCCCCTTCAGCAGTGCCTTTCCAGCTTAACTACGTGCCAACCACAGCCAAGCTCTGCTGGCATCCCCTGCAGACTTCTTCGCAGTGTTTGGAACAGATGTTTATGTGTCTACCCTGAAGACTGATGAGAGTCAGAGCGCATGGTGCCCAGCAGTGGGTGTCTTCCCCCAGAGTCAAAAAGAGCTGCTACAGCTTCGTGTCCCTGCCCTGGGCTTTCAGCTCATGCTCTTTCCCAGCCTGGTGGATCCACAGCCCTTCGGTGGTCAGGAGGACATCCAGTCCTCCTTGGGGTTACGCCACAGCTTGGTATTTATACATTGCCATTAAAATAGGGGAAACAGCTCACGTGATCAGTGACAAACCTGCTTGTTCTAGAACAATATGAAATCATGTCAGCCCCAGAGACTTTGGTCACTGGCATTCATACCTATATACAGATGCTTTATAACATATTATTGGGAGAAAAGTGGGGAAGTTCAGTCACTAGTTCTATTGACTTAAGTCCATGAACTTGAAATGGTTTCAGCTCTTATGTGCTCAATTGTGTTTGCTCAACCATCAGTTGCCTGTGGGACTTCCACTTTGCTAATCTAGCACTGCACAGGCTTGTGCCACATTAATAGGGAGATTTGTTTTAAGGCTAGGACATTAAGTACCTTCTCAGAAAGATTATTGGATGTATGAACACTTATCTAACACGTTTACGCTGTTGTCAACACAGATTATTAGCTTTTGCTAATGACTACGATACTTACACTTTCAGTGTCACCTTTCTGTGCTACGAGGAACCAAGTATTGGTTTACAGTAACAGATACCACATTACTGTCCGTGACATGGTCCTGTTAAGTTCTCCTGTGCATTTTAAGAGGAATCTCTTAGGGCTTCCATATTCATTCTCTCATGAGATTAAAAAAACCCCAAAAAATTATCATAAAAGACTTTTACTAGATACTTGCTTGACATCAACAAAAAATACATCAAAAAAAAGTGGATCAAGCTGATAAATAGGCGTATTATAGGAGACAGTGTTCTTACTATGAATTTAGGGACTGTGGGACTTAAGGCTAGCCTTCCACACAAGGAAAGACAACTGTTCTTGCAAAGACAATATAAAATAAAAGATCAAAAGGGCCAAGAAATACTGCTGAACTGTTGTTACTCAAACATGCTACAACGATTGTGACAGCTGGGTTTAACTGAGAAACTCCTTTATGAAGCAATCATCCTCCTATTTGAAAGAAGCCGTGCAAATGGTGTTTCTTTTGGAGTGGTGGCTTCTTTCTTTGCTAGCCCAGGTACATAGGTCGTTCTGTTACCCTCCTGTTTCTAGAAATACCAGCTATGCATAGCTTCCACAGGAGGATCAGCTTCATAAACTCTTATCTATAGTTCTTACTTCATGGCTGAGCACCTCTGCTCTGTATGGAGCAGATCTACGCTTCTCCCATAACTGAAAAGTTCGTGTGATTTTCTTACCAGGAGAACAAAGCATAGGGAGGGAATATCACATTTCTAAGAAATATATGGTTCATAATATTGACAAAAGCAACAGAAAATCCTGAGGGGAAAAAAAAGCAATTTCATAAAAGTGAGATGTTGCACATTGACCTTTTTGGAAAGGAGAAGTTGCAGGTTTGCAAGTCAAAATAAAGTTTTGGTCAGGTTTATTTTACAAAACACCTTTTTTTTTTTTTTTTTTTACAAAAAGGAAAGGTAATTTTGAAAAATTACAGCTAAAAGTAAAGTTCTTAATGTATTTCATTCCTTTTTCTATTTAAAACAAAATCAAACTAATTAAATTCCTCTCAAAAAGTAAAATCTTGTACCGAGTCAACAGGGACAAGAAATATGGAAAACTGGAACTGCAAAATGCAGTCTTTCCTAATCAGGATTTTTTTTTTTTTACCTCCTTCAACTCACAGGCAACAGTGATTGACCCACACACATATGTGCTTATCCTCCTGCTTGTCTGCTTGAGGTGTTTCTCTTCTCTTCTGATATGCTAAGAGGGATGTGAGGCACCCCGTTAGCCTCGCAGTGATTTGCAATCAAGTGAAACGGTATCAGTTGTTGGTAAAGGTCACCCTGGGGCCTCTCCTAACCATGCAGCTTTGACATGTGCCCTACAGTGTCATGCTATAGTTCCCCCCTTATAGTACAGGAATGGAAATTCAAATATAGACTATGTGGCAGAAATCCAGTCACAAACAGTCTGACTGTCAAATGGAGAAGGAAAAATGTTATAATCTACTGAGAATGCAACTGTTGATCTTGCAAGAATAACAGTCTTCTTTCAGCTGAGGGAAGGCACTTCAACACTGATGGTTCAGCACTGAGCAGAGTCAGGGAACATCACAAAATGACTGGAGAGCAGTGCCCTGCCTTTGCCTGCATCATGCTGGGGGTCATTTCTCTTCCCATCTTCCTGGGGTCTTGAGGACTGCTCTTTCCTTTCTACTTTATCATCTCCAGTTTTTTCTTGAGGGGAGCCTGTCTGCTTCAGGTCTGTTCTCGTATGAAGGCAGAAATGAATGACTGAGCCCAGTGGCGTGCTTGCCTGGCTGTGAGCTGCTAAGCATATGTGCCAGCACAATAACCACCCTTCAAGGCATGAGCTTCCTCTCCTGGTCTGGGAACAAGGCGTGCCCTGGCATTTAAAACTCCCCATATCCCTTTTCAGCGTGGAAAAAGCCATCCAGGGAGATCTGGAGGGAGGAGAGAGTGACTCCCAGCCACGTCCTCCGGAAGGTGGACCTCTCAGCTGTCTCTCACCTCTGCAAGTTTAGAGCTGGTGTTTGATTATGGCCTTCTTCCAAGCTTACAGCTTCTGCCCCCAAACCTTTGGATCAGCTCCAAGCAGGAGTTAACTAAAACGGGCAGTTTAGAAAAGATAGTCTGTCATTGATTTGCAAATAGAAATTTTTTTCAGTTGTTATGAAAAAGCACTGAGTACAAGCTATATCTCAAACATCCTTAAAGCTACTAAGAGGAAGATATTTGAAAACACCATAGGTAATATCTGCTACAAATATCTAATTAGCAAAGACTGTCTGGGGGAAAGAAAAAAAAAAAAGCCTTAACTGTAAGGAGCACAGTAAACAGTATGCTGCAGGCAGTCAGGAATGACTGTGACCACATGAGGGAAAATAAAAAAATTGCCTAAACAAAGCAAGATTTTGCCAGAGGTGGCAAAATCTGAATATCAAGCACCCAGAACAGACCAGCAACAAAATATTATTAATGCCAGAACCAGCGCATTTATGTTTGATTTCATTTATTCTCTGAAATTTCAATCACTCACTCACTGAGAGCTTCCTCCACACCCCTTAAAATGTGGGGTTTATAATTTAATTGAACCAGAATCTGTAAAATGAAAAATGCAGTCAGACGGGATTAATCTTCTCACTCTGTCGTATGTCTTCATTCAGCACCCCCTGATGTCCATGATACAGGACAGGGACATCAC